CTTTTCTCTGACAACACTCTGGTGGCACAGTGCCTAAGGCACTTGACTGCTAACCAGAAGGCTGGCGGTTCAAACCTACCAGTTACTCCTTGGAAGGACGGTTGGGCAATCTACTTCCATAGTGATACTGCCTCGGAAACCCAAGGAAGGGTCACTATAAGTCGAAATCAATGCGACGGCAGTGAGTTTGGTTTGGTTGGTTTGTTATTTTTTAGAAGGTTGATGATGGTATACATGCCTTGGTATGAAATTGCTTTGGGTTTAAGCCTGTTTGGAGTTTATGAACCTTCTTGAATCTATAGGTTTGTGTCTTTTGACAAACTTGGGAAATTTTCAGCCATTGTTTCTTGTAATACGTTTCAGGCCCACCCTAATTCTCCTTTCCGTCTGGAGCTCTAATGCCATGAAGGTTGCATTTTTTTGTTATGGTCCCACAGGTTCCACAGGCTCTGTTCTCCACCCCACCACACCCCATCTGTGTCCTCCATGTTGTTGAGATTGGGTCATTTCTAGTCTGTCTTGGAGTTTATCAGTCCTTTCCTCTGCATTCTCCATTCTGTTGTTGAGCCCATCACGTTTCTTTCATTCTGGTTATTACATTTTTCGGTTCTGAATTTTCCATTTGGTTTTTCTTTATGTCTTCTATTTCTTTGTTGAGGCTTTCTTTTGTTTCCTTTGTTTCTAGCTGCTTGTTCTTTGGAGCATTTCTGTGTTGGCTGCTTTCAAACGCCAGTCATGTAATTCCAAAATCCGGGTCATCTCGGTGCTGGCATGAGTTGACTGTCTCAGCGTCATTCAAATCGAGGTTTTCCTGGTTCTTAGTAAACTGCTGAGTGATTTTTTTTTTTTTTTTTGTATCGTGGACATTCTGGGCATGTGTTTTAAGACTGAGTCTTCTTTAAATAGTCTGCTTTGAAGGCCTTCTTTGACACTGCACTGATGGGAGAAAGACGGTGCCAACTTGAGACCACCAGGTGGTAATACAGGTTCCCCACTCAGCCTCCATTGACACCTAGAGTGGAGAGGGGCACCTCATTACTGCTGGGCTGGAGTGGGAGTTAGAGTCCCCACAAGACTCCACTAGAAGGAAAATGCTGGCTTTATATGATAAGTTGGGAAATGTTCCTTTTTTTTTTTTCTTAAAGAGCTTATACAGAACTGGTAATATTTTTTCCCTATATGTTTGTATTCATGAATGTTGAGGCATTCATCCGCTAACCAAAATGTTAGTGGTTCAAATCCACCAGCCACTCCCTGAGAGAAAGGCAAAGCAGTCTGCTTCCTTAAAGATTTACAGCCTTGGAAATGCTGTGAGCAGTTCTACTCTGTCTTGTAGGGCCACTGTGAGTTGGAATCGACTCAATGGCAGTGGGTTTGGGTTTGGGTTTGGGTTTGAAATGTTGAGTGGAATTTTGCAATTCTATTTTTATATCTTCAAATTCATTAATCTTTCCTGCTGCAGGATCTCAGGAGCTCTGGTAGTACAGTGCCTAAGGCATTTGACTGCTAACGAGAAGGTCGGTGGTTCAAACCCACCAGCTACTCCGTGGGAGAAAGACTGGGCAATCGACTTCTGTAAAGATTTACTGCCTTGGAAACCCAACGGGGATCGCTATGAGTCAGAATCAGCTTGATGGCAGCGGGTTTGGTTTAGGTGTTTGGTTTGCTGCAGGACTAATCTGCTGTTCATCCCATCCAGTGTATTTTTAATTTCAGACTTTTTCTTTTTTCATCTTCAAAGGTTCCATTTGGCTCTTTTTATATCTTCTGTATTTTTCCTTAATGTGCTCATGTATT